AGTATGAATATTAATCAAAGTCTGAAATCAGAAATGTATGTAAGATTGAACACCGATGTAAATAAGATCTTGATTCAACTCAATATTACACTTTAGGTTTACATAGTGCAAAATAGACAAGACTGTAAGAAAATAGCAAGAAAATAGATAGTCTAGCGATGCATCTACTGGTTCGATGGGACAATAGAAAAGAACAGTTGAACGGCTCCGCTCAACTAGTTGTATGGGTTAGGTAAAGGATTCGCTAGGATGGTATCCTTACTAGATAGACAACAAGACTGTATAACATTAGCAACAATCCATTACCATTTAGACAGGAACCTCTTCTTCCCCACATATGGCTACTGGCTTTCATACAGAGGGATATGTTAGTATAATTATGTACAGGGCATTAACAATTATTCCCTCTGCACCAATCAAAATAGGAGAAGAATAAGGCATGGACAGATGAACCAATCAGAGGTTGGCACTCCAGATACCATTACAATGGTCCCCCCATCTATATGAAACCCTAACTATAAAAGAGAAGGAACGTCTCCATAACATGCAGAGTTCTCTCGTCCATTCTCATTGGACATTCTTTCATACACTCTTCTCCTAAGACTAATTTGACCGTTAGAGCGCCTTCTCGGGATGTGGCTGACATATTATTTGATTGCAGCGACAGGTTCTCAGTGATGATCTCTTTACTAGAGCGGTATTTCACATGCGGAACGATGCTGCAACAAAAGGCATAAGTGTTGATGAAACATAAATTCGAACAATAAGGGCTTTGATTCATGGGATTAAGAAACACGATGGTTTGATGCACAACAGTTACACACCACTGGAAAGGATCGCTGATGGTGATACTCCTGTGAAACGACGAAGATGGGGAAATGGAGAAGAAACAATAAATTAGATGGCGTTTCTGATATTAGGTTATATGTGTATATTTGACTTTTTTTTTTTAATTTCTTTTAATTAATATTATAATTATAATAATAGATAATAATAAGAAAACTATATAATAAGGGTAATATGATAATTTTTTTATTTAATAGGACCAAAGACACAACAAACATGTATTATAGTGACTATCCGCGTTAAAAAAAGAGTTTGAGACTAAACATACAGATTACCACAAACCATAGAGATCATTCGTATAATTTGCCCTTAACTTTTTAGATTATTGGTAAAATGTTATAAACCGGATAAATATAATTTTTAAAATGTTTAGTCAAGACTCTAAATATAAACAAAAAGACTATAAATAATTTTTTCTTTTATATATTTAAGCTTATTTGTTTTTCTTACGTATAACAATATATTTTTAATTAATAATTTTTTTTGAGAAGAAAGTATATAAATAATATTGTTTTTATTTTATAATTTCAATAATTATTTATATAGCTTTTTTATGAAAAAAGTATACCAATGTCGAGGTAAAAATTGGCCCATGGAGTCCGCACTATAACGAAAACTATATAATTCACTATATTTAGACAAAACTGCAAAATTTGATCTTGTGGTATTCAATTTTTTTTGAATAGGGTCTAAAAATTTGCGATTTGCATGGAAGGTCTAAAATCAGGAATATTCTATAATTTTAGTCCTAAAAAACTTGAAATATCTATCTTACCCTTTTAATTTCATTTTTATATTATTTTAGCATTTTCGTAACAATTTAATAATTAAAAAATAAAGAATTGCCCCACTTACCCTTTACTCCCACTGTACACACCGGTTTTTTTTTTCTCTCTCTCTCTCTCTTTCTCTCTCTCTCTCTTTCTCATTCGATCATCTTCTTCACCCCTTTATTATTTCTACCTCATCCATGGCTGATTCCCTTATTTGTTACACCAATAAACCAATTCATACCATTGTAAATCCTATAAAAAACTTTGAATAATTATCGTCTCCATAAGATTGGACAAGGAACAGACGAACGAAAGGTAGATCGACGAGAGCTGAGGTGCAGATGGGAAATCGCAAAGAGGGGAAAAGGGGTCCGTCGAGACCGACAACCTTTTGTGGGTTTACTCTTCGTCTTCACTGATTGGGAGAGGAAACATGAATGGAAGCAGTCAAAATGGTGATCTGGTGTTCAAACAGATCGCGAGAAGGAGTCGATCTCTGACGAACTCCCTAGGCTCTTCGCTTGTTGCCGGCAACCACAAATCGAGGGGGAAAGGGAACCGACTTGATTGAAGGGAGAAGGAAGAAGAATGGAAGCAAAACATGGTTAGTTCGGTGGAGGTTTAAAAAATTACTTTCTTGGATGCATGATTGTAGGAGGTATTTTAAATGACGGAATTATTTTCACTTTATCTTTAAAAAGCTATAAGTCATTTCAAGAAGCCAAATCATTTTAACTTCTTACAATATCCATAGTGATGGAAAAAAAAAGAGTTTTAAAAAGCTGTTCTTAGTTAAGAAACATTTATTTTGGATGAGACTAATGACAAAAACTAACAAGTAAATAATTTGTTCACTCAATTCCAAACACTCAGTATGTTTAAAAAAGAAAGATAATTGCAAAAATGAATCTCTTTAGGACTTTTGGGTTGAATGAAACAATCAGTACGTTTAAAAAATTGCATTTTAGATGTGGATTTCAGACTTTGAATTCCATACTAGACATTAGACAAAATCGATAACATGTGTAAAATCCAAAGACCAAATTTGAATTTCAAAAAGAATGTTATGTTTTTCTACCAAACCTAAAAAAAAATACATATCAAAACCGAAGTTGATTATGATACAAAATGCATTACAAATGTGTCATTGAGTTGGAAAAGCAACGATCGTTAACATTTCATATTAAAAGGCTATATATAATTTTTTATTAGTGATTGGTGCAAATAAAAGTAAAATACAAATCATATTCGGATAAATAGCACAAAAAACACTATTTTTACATAGAAATTTGATTTTGACACCGTGTTTTTTTTTATGTCAATTTTGACACTGTGTTTTCCAATTTGTTACAATTCTGATCACTTGATCGATTAACCAGGTTACATACTGGCATGACATGATGATGTGTCATGCTGACGTGTTAAAATTGGTTTTTTTTTCCACAAAAAACACTAAGTTTTCACCTTTTTTTTTTTTTTTTTTTTTTTTTTTTTTGATTTTAACACTAAGTTTAATTTTTTATTTCAATTTTGACACTATATTTTTTTTTGTTACAATCAAACATCATTTATCAAATTTTGTTCAATTTTGTCTATTTTCCATTTGATACCGTATAAATATATTTTTTTCTATTACATTTTAAACCGTATAAACATATTTTTTTCTTATAAAAACCATATTTTTATTTAGATACAAGGTGTTTTTTTATCCTACATTCAAAACATTAGTTATATCATGAGAATCAAACTAACCATAAACTTCTAATAAGATGTAAAAATTTGATGAGTTGCAAACTTGATATCCGAGTTTTGATCGATTACACGCCTCAAAACATCCAAACATATTTTAAAAGTTGCATATTTAATATAAAATACAATTTTTATATAACTAATACATATTCATACATAAAAATATGGTTTGAGTGTAAAAAAAATATGTTTATACAAAACTATGGTTTTTAAATGAAAAAAAACATATTTATATGGTTTAAATGTATTAGAAAAATATTTATACGGTTTCAAATAGAAAATTGTCAACATTGAACAAAATTGGAAAAAATGATGTTCAATTTGGAACAAAAAAACATAGTGTCAAAGTTGAAAGAAAAAATTAAACTTAGTGTCAAAATCGAAAAAAATGAAAACTTAGTGTTTTTTGTGAGAAAAAAATTCAATTTTGACACATCAGCATATCATGTCAGCATGCCACGTCAGCATGCAACCTGGTTAACAGGTCAATTCGTCAGAATTGTAACAAATTGGAAAACACAGTGTTAAAATTAACAAAAAAAAAAAAAAAAACGGTGTCAAAATCGAATTTCTATGTATAAAAAATGTTTTTTGTGCCATTTATCCAATCATATACCATCCAAAATACCCATCCTAAAATTGGTGGTCATTTGCGGGAATTGGTAAAAATCTAGTCCTTTACATTGGGTTTAAATAACCACGTGGTCATGTAAGGTATAAACTAATGCTTTACATGGTTATGTGTTAAGATTTTGTTTTGCGGCTTTTATTGCCTCGTGATTCGGTGCACTGATTACTACAGTGTGATGTTGCCATGTCACCATGGTGTGGTGGTTATTTATGGCCACGGCGCAGTGCCGTTATGGGCACAAAACCCTAATGTGTCGGGCCATGAGCCCGATTGACCATTGTATTTTTCAATTCCCCGTTTTGTTTTTTCAATTTTCTGTTTGTTTTTAATTCTCAGTATATTCTTTTTTCTCATCTATTCTTTATAAAAGCATAGAAAATTAAAAGGTGGAAAAGGAATTGGTTTTTATTATCTTTTCCTCATTTTCGGTCGTTAACAAACAAGAAAAATGGAATCAAATCCATTTTCTTCTTTCATTTCTTTATACCAAACATATTCTAAGACGAGTAAAGTGGAGATTCTTGAAATCATTGTTGTGACCATGAATGAGCTCTTTGGCAGTACAAGAACACTGTTGTTTTTCAAAGGCATAACATGAGAAGAGTCATATAATCTTATTTTAAAGAATATCGTTAATCGCTTATTTGACTGGTTCTTAAATATACTTAGCAAAGTAACATTATTTAGACTTTGTGGTTACACAACCCAATATTAAATGACTTTTTGTAATTGTTCTTTGTACTAGCTCCTTGCTATTTGGTGTCTTTCTATAAAATTAAACTGTTAAAATTTTTTTATTGTTCATAATCCTAAACCATCATGAGACATTCTCAAATACAAACGGATCATGATGGTTCAAATACTTTCCGTAAACCAAAAGTATTCATGATTATACGTTACAGTTGAAGTATTTTATAGTTTTCCATTATTAACCACAAATTCAAGGGTGTCATCCATTATATAGTGTAACGTGCCAAGGGTCATCAATTATCAATAGCATCAATATCCCTACTTATTTTTTATTCTTTATTTTTATAGAAGATCAATTGTTTATATCTTACCTTTCTCATATCTCATTCATACGAACCCAATTATTGTTATTGGGACACTCTGATTCACGAGTTTATGAACTTGGAAGGATCCAACAATAAAATAAACCTGAAAGATTATTTTTAGAAAGTTGGTAAGAAAGAGAAAAGGGACCAAAGTAAAATAAGAACAAGAACTTATTAAACAATTGAGCAAAATGGACATGTGAAAAAGTAAAGAATGAAAATTTTTAAACAAAAATAAACATTTGGATATATTTTGGGTATAAACGTTTGCATTGGGAAAGAGAAAATTTAATCCGAGGGAGGGTACATCCACCATTGCCGACAAATTCTATATCTCGTGGTCGTCTTCCTCCTTTTGCTCGTTTCTTCTTCTGTAAATCTTCCTCTGGTCGTTAAATTTCTGAGCTTGCAAGCCAATTCATACGTACATAGAAGAATGGTTATTCGGGTTTCATTGGGTTCAGCATAGAAGTTTTGTTCTATTGTTTTCTTTACTGGAAGAGGGAAGATGAAGATGAGTATGAAGACATGGATGAGAAAACCAGTTCTAGTGTTGCTTTTTGTAACGGTTATTGCCCCCATTATTCTTTACACTGATAGACTCGCTACATTTTCTTCCTTTTGTAATTCCCCTCTCTTCCTCTCAGATTCTCTCCTTCTATAAAACCATCAAATCTGCGTTTTCTAATCCGGTTTTGTCTTCTTCTTGTAGCTATAGATGAATACGTTTCGGAGCCCTCAACACTTGTAAGTCTTTCGCTCCCCATTTTGCTATCCCATCGATCTGAAATCAATTGTTTGTAGTCTCTTTTTAATTTACTTATTTTTGCCTCAGTCGCTGAATCGTGATGTCAGGTCCCGAAATTTACTTCCTCAGGTAGGTAACATCGCCAATTCGCTTTCTAAATTCGGATACTTGGAAGCGTATTCATTTCTCCAATCCTTCAATTCATGTTTTCAGGAGTTATCTGCAGCAAAAGAAGAGACAGCGAGTGATGTTTATTTGGGAAAATCGACTAGATCTATTCAACTTCTTGACGGTGAAAGGTCCAGGAAAACTAGACAGCTTAATGAAGGTTTCTCTCCTTACTTTTTCATTCACCACTAACCCTAACCCTAATTTAAACTACAATCATCTATCTTTACACGAACAAATTTACAACACACGCAACGAAATTCCAATTCTTTTATGATTTTTATCCACCCAAGCATACGATTGTAATGACTCTTTCAACACTCATACTTCAGAATCGAAGGAACATGACGCAATTGTCATCAGGCAAGTGACACGAGGATTCCACGAAGCTGATCACAGTGACAACAGACATGAATCGACTGAAAACCAGAAGTTGAAGGCGTCTGAGCATAAATTGTTATCCACTGAAGCTGTAAGTTGTTTAAAATTTATCTAAGATTGTTGCTGTGTTGTCACTTTCATGAATCTTATGATCTAAATAGGTGCTTATGTCTAGATGTGTTTTCAGATTGGTATTAGCTGTATAATTAATTAACTATAAATATGTTTAGTAACTTGCAAGTATTGATAAAATGATCAAGAATCGATCCAAAAGAAAGCAGTAATTGGTGATTGATCCATCGTCCTCTATTATCCTTATACAGATTTTATACCATGTATATTTCTTGTAACAATCCTCTATTATTCTTATATGTGTAAATTTAAAGCTATCTGATTATAATTAAATAAGGTCTAAAGTATAGTTAAAACTATATAATTCCAAGACAAATTCACATAGACAAGTGCAATTTGAGCTTCGAATCTGGACTTAGTTCGTGTTGATTTCTGATCTTGTAGGAAACTATACAAGAGGGAAATTCCATCAAACCTGGAAAAACAAAAAGCAAGAAAGCAGATGAACATGTTTTAACAGATACCCGTGTTAAGTATCTGAAGGATCAGTTGATTAGGGCAAGACTTTACCTTTCCCTTTCAGCAACAAGAAGCAATACTCAATTTATTAGGGAACTTCGGTTGCGTATGAAGGAACTCCAAAGAGCACTTGGCGATGCAACAAAGGATGCAGATCTACCAAAGAAGTAAGCCTTATTTAAAATTTAAGGGTAAATGCAAAAATACGTTGGCTTATTTTTGATTTTTATAAATGCGTTATATGTTGTTGGGGTATGAAATGAATGCAGTGCGAATGAGAAGCTGAAAGCAATGGAGCAGACACTGGCGAAAGGGAAGCAAATACAGGACGACTGCACTGCGGTTGTGAAGAAACTGCGTGCCATAATTCACTCTACAGAAGAACAGCTGCGGGTCCACAAGAAACAGGCCTTGTTTCTGACTCATTTAACCGCCAAAACTGTTCCAAAGGGTCTCCATTGTCTTCCCTTACGCCTTTCAACCGAATACTATTCTCTTCATTCTTCTGCCCAACAATTCCCAAATCAACAAAACCTGCATCACCCCGACCTCTTCCACTACGCATTGTTTTCGGATAATGTTTTGGCTGCTGCTGTAGTTGTCAACTCAACCGTTTCCAATGCAAAGGTACTTTGTTATTATTATTATTTTTTTACCTATAAAATAGCAATGTGGTTGGTTATTGCTTGAAATCGACTCAATGAAAGCATGTTGTTTGGAGCAGGATCCTTCAAAACATGTGTTCCACATTGTGACAGATAGGCTGAATTACGCAGCAATGAGAATGTGGTTTCTTGCAAATCCAGCTGGCAACGCCACAATCCAAGTTCAAAACATCGAGGAATTCACATGGCTGAATGCAAGTTACAGCCCTGTCTTAAAGCAGTTGGGTTCACAGAACATGATCGATTATTACTTCAAAACACGAAAATCCGAGTCCGATTCAAATCTCAAATTCAGAAATCCAAAGTATCTGTCAATCATGAATCATCTCCGGTTTTACCTTGCGGAGATATTCCCGAAGCTTAGTAAAGTGGTGTTCTTGGATGATGATATTGTGGTTCAAAAAGATCTAACTGGTCTTTGGTCTATGGATTTGAAAGGGAAGGTGATCGGTGCTGTTGAGACGTGTGGGGAGAACTTCCATCGGTTTGATCGATACCTCAACTTCTCAAATCCTCTGATTGCTACAAATTTCGATCCGCGTGCGTGTGGATGGGCGTATGGAATGAATGTATTTGATTTGGAGGAATGGAGGAAGCAAAACATCACTCAGGTTTATCACTCGTGGCAAAAGTTGGTAAGTGTTTGATTGATTCATCAATCGCAATAAGCCACAACTAACAAAATATATATATATATGATATGATAATGATGTGTTATGCATCAACTTCTGCTATATATGATAGATAAGGGCAATATGGGAAATTCAACAAATAAAATGATAGTAGGGGCAGTTTAGGTATTTTATATTATTAGTTTGTTATGTTAGATAATATAAGTAAAGGGTAGTGAGCAGGGAGTGAGGCATCGATCTTTTGTGTGAAATTTGGAATTAATTCCTCTGGGAGATTGGCTATCTCGAATCAGCCAAACTATCTTCATTCTTCTTTATTCTTGTAAACATTTGGTATTATTGAGTGTTTTCAATCAATATTAGAATCATTTGCTTGTTTATCTGTTATTGAATCTGTGATTACAAACCAGTTCATAACAAATGGTATCAGAGCATTCACCACCTGGGATTATGGCTGGTGATAAAGGAGGAGGGAAGGAGGCTAGAGGAGCTCAACTGAAGAAGGTTGAATCGCTTGAGACAGAGTTAGGGCATTTGTATGCTCGAATGGAGAATCAAGGACATCAGATCCAACAGAACGCTGAATCCATAGTCTCTCTTCAGTTGAAGATGGATCAAAAGTTTGAGGAGATTTTGGGTGCCATAGCCAAAAGCCGACCAACAATCAACAATGAGAAGAAAACCGTGGAGGGAGAGCCTAGCAACACACAGCGGTTCTATCCATGGAGGAAACTCCAAGGGTTTACAGTAGAGCGTCACACACTGATACAGGAGGTTCAAGAAATGGAACAGGAGGTGGTTTCATAGGCAGAGGCGGCGGCTATATTCCCAGAGGCGACGGCTATATTCCCAGAGGCGAATACAGAGGGACCAACCGGAGATTTCACAAACATGAGATGATCTTGTTTGATGGAACTAACACAGAGGAGTGGATTTTAAATATAGAAAGGTCATTCTGCTCATATGAAGATGAAGAAACAATGGAAGTTGCGGTGGGGGCTCTAGCGGGCGGCACCCTACTGTGGTATGAATGGGAGCATAGGAGGCGGCCCATACGAGATTGGGAGGAGCTGAAGGGATTGATCCGTTGCCGATTTGGATCCTCACAGCAATCGCCGATCTTTCTTCTCAAAGAGAAGACGGAGCATAAGACGATTCCGTTAAAAGAAGTAACGGAGGAGGGATACCTAGGTCATCGAAGAAATGGGCTGGAAAGCAAGGAATGGGTCGAATTTGGCAAGTTGGGCCTACATGCTTGGGATCAGACTATTAAGGCGGATAAGAAGTCAAGCTTCGCCCCAACAGCTTTGGAGTCGACAGCATCAGTTTCTTCCAATTTCACCCCCAAAACCCTAGGGTTAAATATTGAACGTCTGTCTTCCACCAACTTCGCCACAGCCCTGAAGGCTAATTCCAATAACAACAGTAAATCGGTTCTCAGAGCTTGTTTAGGGCCAACACCAACAATAATGCCCAAGCCTCCAAGGCTGTTTGTATGTGAAGAAAATCGTGTCAAGATGGACGTCACTATACCCCCTCATTCTAAATCCAGGTATAAGGAAATCATGATGGAAGTGGGATACAAGCATGACAAAATCTCATTGGTCCCAAGCTCTCGATTTGAAGATAACAACACCAATGAGAGGTCAACCAACCTTCATTGGTACAAAGGACCAACCCTTCTTGAAGCACTTGATCAGAGCAGAAAGCTTAAAGAAACCACCGGACAAACCACTCCGTCTACCACTTCCAAAGGTCTACAAGGTTGTTGGTATTGGAACCGTACCAGTGGGACGTTATAGCTCAAACAACTAAATCTACTTTTTATTGGACTTCACAAGTTATCACTTCTATTCCAAACATGGTCTATTACCTAGAGAATTTAAAGTCAAATGCTTCACTTTTAAGTTCTTGGTATGCCAGACTCGAACCTCTGAACAATTCTTCTAGAAATCCAAAATCATTAGCATATGATTTGCACAGCCCCTTTTACCGTGGATGTGGGGTATACCGTCCATCTAAAAGTCGAGCATCAATTCTGAAGCTACTGAGGACCCGCCAAGGATTCAAGGATCAATTAAGCTTGATACATAGCACAATAGATTATAACTATGTGGCTTCTGTTTGTTCTGATGCTATTGGCTTGAATCTTGACACAACTGTCATGTTTCCAGAAAGTCCATTTACTGCTTTTGACATCATTAGGTGGTTTGAGGCTGGGTACTTTAGTATAGATTTTCAAATACGTCTTACAAACGCACCAAATGATTTGCCATTTCCCTCACTAGGTGATGTAATGCCTCACTGGTGTACAAACGCTCTAACCACTGGATTTATTGCTGCAAAAGAAAATCAAATCAAGGAGGAATCAAGTATAACAAGCACTGAAGTTGAGAAAAGACAAAGGGATGTCAATGATCAATCAGGTAAGTCAAACTTCACGCATACCATGAGGAGAAATGGAACTGGATTTCAACAAGGGGGGGCTAGGGAGGCTGAGAAGGGGATTAGTGAGTCGGTGACATTTGGTAACAAAGGTGAGGGCAACTTAGACATGAGTACATTTCATGGAAAAGAAGAAAAAAATTATCAAGGCATGTCTTGGTTTACACCTCCAAATGATGCCAATGCAAAAAGTGAACATTGTTATATTCCAAAAAGAATGATGCAAACATGGAATGGGCACACAAAAGGGGTTTTAGCCATTAGGTTCCTACTTGATAACAACCACTTGCTTTTGTTGGCTGGAATGGATACCAAGGTCAAGATTTGGGAAAAATTTAATTCAGATAAGTATGAGGCATTAATGGAGGTTGATGTTATTGATCCCCATGAAGATGGCGATATTTTACTGGGAGTATGTGACAGACGTCCCTCATATCAGATTTAGTAGAGCAAGTGAGTGGGACATATGTAGGAATAGGAAGTGCTGATCATGGTAAGGCACAAGGCAAGACAAAAAGGTCACCAAGGGACATTTGGATGTTACACCATTTGTATCCACCTTGAGGACAAGGTGGTTCTTTTGGGGTGGGGTATTGTTATGCATCAACTTCTGCTATATATGATAGATAAGGGCAATATGGGAAATTCAACAAATAAAATGACAGTAGGGGCAGTTTAGGTATTTTATATTATTAGTTTGTTATGTTAGATAGTATAAGTAAAGGGTAGAGGCATCGATCTTTTGTGTGAAATTTGGAATTAATTCCTCTGGGAGATTGGCTATCTCGAATCAGCCAAACTATCTTCATTCTTCTTTATTCTTGTAAACATTTGGTATTATTGAGTGTTTTCAATCAATATTAGAATCATTTGCTTGTTTATCTGTTATTGAATCTGTGATTACAAACCAGTTCATAACATGATGTGATTGAAGTTGTAGTAACATTTTGATATGGTTGGGTGCAGAATAATGAGAGACAACTGTGGAAGCTGGGGACGCTGCCACCTGGCTTGATAACGTTTTGGAAACGGGTCTACCCGTTGGAGAGGACATGGCATGTACTTGGGCTTGGGTATAACCCGAGTGTGAGTCACAGGGAGATTGAAAAAGCAGCTGTCATTCACTACAACGGGAATCTGAAGCCGTGGCTGGAAATAGGGATTCCAAAGTTTCGAGGCTATTGGAATCGCTTTCTCGACTATGATCAGGCTTACATGAGGGACTGCAATATGAGCCCATAAGCAAGTATATGTATGTAGTAGTGCATATTCTTTTGTTGTGGTTAAGTGTATTGAAAATGTTTCCTCATTCTAACCCTGGGTAGAAGAAGCTGAAGGCATCCATAGTTCTGCATACATTATTGTGCTGTATCTTGTAAATGAGCAAGAGATTGATTGTTTTAGAAGGTTTGTGCTCCGTGTGTGTATTAGTAATTTAGTATAAACATTTTAGGTTTGAATTGTTTTGGTGGATCCTAAGAAAGGATGATGGGTATGTTGTATTTCCGTATACCATTTATATATATTTCTTTATATTCTTATTGGCTGCATACAAGGTTTAGTAATTTACTATTATATTTTCTGTTATTATTGTATTGTATTATTATTTATTCTCATTACCATATTGTTATTCGCTTAAATGATCATAATAAGTCACTTAAAAAATGACAACACAGTGATTTTCGTCTTGCAGATTTGTTGATATGCTTCTGTGACAAAAATATTGTTCGTGAGGTATTAATATTGCAATATTTTTCATGACCTTAAAGGACGCTTTCAACTCGCATTGTATTTGGTATTCACGAGGAATTAATATTACACCTTCCCCATACAACCATTAAAGTTAAGGACTTCGTTATATACTTGCAACCTGCGGTTATTATTCGTGAGGATTAATATACCTATGTTTAAGACACACGTGATTCTAAATGACCGGTTAGGGATGAGCAAATAGACCGGGGAACCGGCCGGAACCGGAACCCGATGGAACCGGTCGGGCCGGGACCGGGATGTTATTTTTGTAGATTTTTGGAACCGGGAACCGGTAGGAACCGGAACCGATATAACCGGAACCGGTAGAACCGGCAAAAACCGGAACCGTATGATGCTATTTTTTAAGGACCGATTCCAACATTTGAAGACACGACAAGAACCGGTAGGAACCGGTAGAACCGGACCGATAGAACCGCCGGGTTGGTTCGGTTCTTGATTTTGGCCGAAGCCGGTTCCCGGTTCCGGTCCCGTTCGGGCCGGTTCCGGCTGGTTCGGTCATTTTGCTCATCCCTATGACTGGTTATAATTGACTAAAAAGGGTGAGTAAGTTTGTAGTTGCCTGAAAATCTACTAATGTGATATAAGTGGACCTACTTTCCATATACTAACACCTTCTAGTAATTCAGCTATTTCAACCAAACCTAATAAATTTTCTACCCTCAGTACTGTGTCGTCCTGTAGGCCTATAAATCATCATGGTTTTCCATATTTCAACCCTTCATGAGAGTGCAATAAGAACACGTTTGAAAAAAAATTCATTGTTGCAAAATGGTTATCACTTACTTTTATGGATCCTACTTGTCCACATTGTTTTTTTAATCATCTATGCATCTGCATAGATCACCCTTATGTGTTGGACGACTCCTCTTATTGTCAGATCACATTTTCCTTGCTATATGTAACAACTGTGTTCCAGATTGGTTAAACTTATTTCTATCAAGGACAAAAGATGAAGTTTTGGAGGAAACTCTGTGTCTCAACATGGGGCAAGGATGCTCATGACGTGACAATAATTAAATGATCGCGTGTTTTATTAGACTGCCACGATGTGGCCAATGAAGGCCACAACGTGGCAGCCGTTCTGCCCCAAGCTCATGATCTTTTAGAGCTTCCTTCATATTTAAGCCTCTCTAAGCCATTTCTAGTGTTCATTTTGCAGCCTCTAACCTCCTTATACCTCGAAGAAACCTTATCCCCCATTCCCTTGAAGATTTGTGGCATTTTGTGAGCATTTGATAGCTTGGAGAAAAAGGGAAGAAGGTGTTCTATTGTTGGATCTTGCAAGGAAGCAACACCATCATCATCTTACATAGCTTTTGGACCTTTGTAAGTGTAAAAAGCTCAATCTTTTTGGCTTAAGGTGGCTAGATCTAGAATATTGTATCATGTTCTTCATGTTTGAGCAAATTTTAAAGGAAGAAACTCATAAAGTTGGCAACTTTATGAATCTCCTAAGTCCCAAGAGCATCATATGTTGTAGATCTAGACTTTGGTTGGAGTCTTATCATTGCTTGAGTTTTTGGGCATTTTTTAGCTTATTATGACCTAAAATGGATTCTAGACATGTATTGGCATTGTATGTCTATAAAGCTTTCATCTTTATGATAGATTTGATATTTGAAAACCCTTCTGGAGTGGTTGGATTAAGGTCTTTCCAAATTAAGGGCTTAATGGTTAAGACATGGTGGTATTTGGCTTATTTTGGACATAGGGTTAGAGATCTTGATCTCTTTGGCTGTCTTAATGGATAAAGTTGGAAACTTTATCCATTTAGACCATATAATGGACTAGATCCGAGCTTTGGAGCTCTTGGAATCGAAGAAAACGGCTTAATCTATTAAGTTGATGGGAACCCTGCGTCTACGGCATGACCATAGGTCGCCATGGCGTGGTGACTGAGAATTTCCCATATGTTTGGTCGTATAAGGGCCACGACCTAGCCAAGGAAGGCCACAACGTGGCGATTGACTAAAGTCAACGATGACTATTGACTTTTGGTATGGATTGACTTTTGTTCAAATTTCTATTTTGTAGAAGGAAAACTTAAGGTATACCTTGTGTGGATTGTTAAGAGGTGTTTAACACCATCTTTTGGCGGTGAGAACTGTTAGCTGTGGTTGGCGCGACATTGAGTTGAGTGTTAGTTGACTTTATGATTCATGTGAGTCACTTCACTGTACTCATGGGTCAAAGGAACCAATGTCAATCCACTGGATTATGGTTGTAGGATGATAGTTTTCCTTGTGACACTTGCTGATATGTCCGTATGTGCTTGATTGTCGATATGACTATTACTGATATGATTGTATGTTATATGCATGGAGCCAATTTGTGCTTGGAGTCATTATGGATTTGATGTTGATACGGACCCGACACAACTACATTTTGTTACATGGAGTCATTATTGACTTGCGGTTGATATGGACTCGACACAGTCACGTGTTGTTATATTTATATATGTGGAATGTATGTGATAGTTTAGGGAACTCACTAAGCTTTGTACCTACGTTTTATGTTTAAAGTGTTTTTTAGATACTACTAGTTTCAAAAGGAAGGGTCCGACTTGATCGCACTGCATCCTCTGAAGATTTATTCCACATTGACTATTTATGATTTACTCTGATGTTTTGAGAATATTTTTATTATGATTGTATTTTGGGATAATGAATGAATAGTTTGACTTATTTAAAATGAAACTAATACTCGAAATTTTTGGGACGTTAACTGTAAAACCAACTATTCATGTTGTAAGACCACCTACTCTGTTGGTTTTTTATTCAAAAAATAGTTTCAAAAATATAAGATTTAGCAACGGAAGACTTGATAATTTTAATAACATAAAACAAGTTTATAACCCACCAAGGTTCTTCTTGCATAGTTTGGAAAGAAAAACAAGCACCAAAGAAAAAGATGGAGAAAATTACAACATTTGTAGTTCCTTGGATCCTTTTGGGAGGTTTGGAAGTTGATGAAGAATGATAAACTTAAGAGACACCAACAATGACTCAACTTGATGTAAAATGCTAACTTTTTTGTATAAATGTAACGACCCAAAATTTAAGACCAAAAATTTCTTTTAACAAATCATTACTTAAAGTAAAGTCATCACTCAAAACATAATATGAGTATAAGTTTTCAAAACACATGCTCATTATCAGAGTAAACATTCCCAGGCTGTCTAATCTATGGTGTGTGCCATGCGATCACCCCGAGCTCTTCCCTCCGCTATCGGAAGTACCTGAAACCAAAACTGAAAACCGTAAGCACGAAGCTTAGTGAGTTCCCCACCCTACCACATACCATGCATAACCACATACTGCACATACTGGGCCACGCCCACTATCTTGTGCCTTGACCCCTACCTCGGGCCTCGCCCGCTACATCGGCCCCGCCGCTCCAGGACCCGCCTGGCTTCGAGCCCTGCTCGGATACAGATCTGTTTTACTTAGGCCTCGCCTATCACAGGGCCTCGCCCGCCAACAAATAATACACATAAACCTTTCACAACAGATAACTAACACATGTAACTGGTTCTGTCCTAAGGCCTCGCCTATCCTGGGCCTCGCCCATGTGCTGCTACTGATGAGTCATGGGACCCCGTCCACGCTCCTAATGGTAGTGAGGTATGGGCCTAGCCCACTTTCACTCCTGTTCTAGTTTGGGCCTCGCCCCTATTCTGCTACTAATGAGATATGGAACCCCATCCACACTCTTCTATTGGTGAGATACGGGACCTCGCCCACAATCACCTCCCTACCAGGCACATACATGTATCACACAAACAACAAGTATAAACTATCATATAAACAATTCCTTGGGCACCTGCCCGCTATTACTGGACCTCGTCCTGAAAATAATACTAGCATACTGTGCCTAGGGCTAACCCCCGGGTCTTCTACTCATAACTACATGGGTCGACATTGTGGCCTTAGACCCATTCACACAAAGGGAAACTCACCTGCACTAGCTGAACTTGCTGATGATCTCACTAGTTGCTGCCCGACAACTCACGGAACTCCTACTCCCCTTGCTCCCCAAACTACCAATATCAATGCAACACTGAGTCTAACTGCCCCCCGAAAGACAACCAAGTCCACCCTGGTCCAAGGTCAAAGTCCTGGTCAAATTCAACCTTCCAGGTCAACCCTACTCGCCGAGTCACCCTACTGACTGTAGATCCACCCTTCCTAAGCCTTTTCCCCACGTAAAGTTGCAAACTTTACGTGTGGAGAAGGAGATCTAGGCAAAATATGCTATAAACTAGGGTTTAAGGCAATAAGGCTCCATGATCCACTCAAGGGCTGATACTTTACGGAATTCTAGACCAAAATAAGCATGGATCTGAGGTAGCAACCTCAGATCTGAACCTCTAGCTCAAAGGTTACTCTTAAGCCAAGAATGCCGAAAACACACACAAAGATCTAGGTGCAAATGAGGGGAGATAGCAGCTTGTTACCTCCAAGATGAACACCACTGAAGTAGATCTCGGATCTACACCTCATCCTTGAAGCAACCTACTTGCCCTTCAAGTTCCTTTCCCCAAAGTTCCTTCCTCCAAGCTTTAACTCTCAAAATGATGGAAGCTCTCCTAAAATCAAGGGTGCACTAGCTCTCTAGGGTGATATGGGGGCTGAGGGAGGGACATAACACCCTTTAAATAGGATACAACTCCCGGGATTAGGGTTTTCCTTGTTCAGACTAGACTCGCCGAGTCACCTTGGCCGACTCGCCGAGTCGGTCGCTTACTCCTCGACCCGGATCCCGCTCGGACTCGCCGAGTCCCTCCTTGGACTCGCTGAGTCTACCCTTAAATTAGG